TATGAACTAATTTCTTCTATATTTCTTTACTGTTTGTGGACAGTATTTACATTTTTAAAGTAGTTTTGGTTTATTATAGTATTTATTTAATTTTTAAGTAATTTATTAAAAGAATATAAATATTTTTCTATTATTGAATATGAATACGAAATATTTACATATGTATATATGTACTATATATTTTTGTTAAAAAATAAATTTAGAAGTTTGAAACTAATAAAAAAGAAATGTAATTGCACATATAGAATTTTATTGATAATTAATATTTTACATAATATTAATTATTAATTTAATTCTTGGTATATGATTATTTTAAACATATTTTAATTTTTTATTTGTTGAAGTAATTTTAAATTTAATATATTAATATATAATTATTATTATTTATCTCTAATATATAAATAATTTTATTTTTATTAAAATTAAATTAATGTGATAATATAAATAATAATTATTTATTTTATTAAATATAAAATTTTAATTTAATTATGTAAAATAATTATTTATTTAAATATAAATATAATTATATTAAAAATTATTTTTTTTTCCTTATATACTTCTTTTATATTATTTACTATTATATATAATATATAGTTGTAAACTAGTAATTTGGCTGAAAATACAATCATACTACCCTATCATCCAAAGAAAAATTTCATTAACATACATTAACACACCATCATACAAACGTAAAAAAAATTTGTCATTACAATCCTATGTTATTATTATTCAATTACTGTCATTACTATATATTAATTAATCATCACTGAAATTTATCCAAACAAAACTTTAGGAAAAATCAGCTTATTATCCTTATGATAGCTTCAGCTTCTGATTTTATTGCTTTTGACTTTTCAATTTAATTTTGGAATAAAAAACAGAGCATTCACAATGTGTAGTGATTTTTTTTTTTTTTTTACTTGTACCATTGGTTTGAAAAAATAAACTACACAAATTAATAGTTATTTTGAGATTATTTTAAATCTTAATTTTATTAAATAGAAATAAAAATATAATATAAATATTATTAACATTTTGAAAGAAAATTAATATTATAATTCTAAATTACTCACTCTATAAGTTTTTGTGATTCTTTTCTTCGTATGTAAAAATACAAAATCAACAGCTATAGAATTAAAAATATGAATGAATTTAATGTAATTAATATATCAACAATATAAATAATACATAATAAATAACTTAAACAAACAATATTTTTTAAATTAAATCTTATATAAGAAAGGAATTTACGCAACATTTGGATTTCTTTTCCCTAAAAGTCACTTAAATACATAAAAGATTAATTTAAAAGAAATTTTTTTTTTTTTTTTTTTTTTTTTTTAAAAAAAAAGAAACCCTAGCATAGAATGCTACAAGTGAAAAAGAAGAGTTCCCTGATTAATTTGCCTTTCAAAGATGGCATTTAAGTAAATGTCGTATTCCTTGACATGAAATGGGAGAACCAGGAAAATTTGGATTACTTCATTCCTTCTTACCCCGTTCCAATTTAAATCTAAGCAAATAATGACCACCGAATACAAGGCTCAAGAAACATGCCACAAGGTTCCACAGCCAACATACCGTGACCATAATGCAATTGTTAATGTCAGATTATATTTGAGAAAGAAAAGATAAAAATAAAAACAGAACTAGACCATCCAATCACTTCTCATCTTTACCTACTTTTCTTTTTTTTTCTCGGCCAAGCCACCACATCACCATCTTTTCTCACTTCTACTCCTGCTCAAATGCACACACAATGGCAAATGGAGGAGTGTCTTCTTACCAAACTAAAACCTTTTCAGTTTACTCATCACCACTAATCGATCATAACACCACTAGTCAATCATAACTACCATCTGATCGAATACCACCACTTTGCCGACCATAAAAATTCCCTCCACCGCGTCTCGAGTGACTCTGACCCCTCTCCCTGAATCTTGGACCTGAATTATGAGAACTATCTTTTCTTCCTTCCGAAGTATTTACTTTGTCAATGCTCTGCTGCCCAATTGGCTGATATTCGTAATGTGAATTTTGCCTCTGCCTATCTCTGTTCCCAGGCACACCATATGAGCCCCAATCTCCATGCGATTCGTTCACTCTGACAAAGCGGTTACTTTGGCTTCCATTCTTGCGGAATCCTGAAGAGGAGCGTTGCTCAAGCCGAGTGTCCATATTTGACGAAGCAGGGTCAAGAGGGCCATCGGGCCCTTGATTTGTGGAGTAAGGTTGACCTCTATGTGACGCCATCCTCCTCTCCCTCCTAAGCTCTTGCTGCCCAGCATTAGGTGCTTCTTTCACATTACTCTTATCAGATAAGGACTGATCTTGGTGACGCTGACTCAACCCTCCGTCGGTGTCCTTTTCTATTTGACGTGGAAGTGAAACCTCAGCTGGCAGAGAATAATTCTTTTTGTTAGTCCTAGCAGCTTCAACCTCTGCATTTTGACTGCTAATGGCTCGGCTGCTTCGTTGACTAGAAACTGAAAGTGCCTGGAATTTGGGTTGCCAATGAGATGTTGATCTATCTCCAAGAGCACAATTTTCTTTGGAAGCAGAAGATAAATCTGTCTGACTCATCTCAGGGAATGATGATTGCATGTAATTTTTATCAGCATCGACAGTATGAATCTTCTGATCATCATGATTATTTCCTGTACCCTTGTGCCCCTTGTGTGCATGCCTCTTCCCTCTGCTTGTTAATCCCTGATCTTTTACAACAGGCATTGTCGATGTCTCAGAACTTTCTGGAATCTTCCAGTTGTCAGAAGTATTCCACTCGTCCCCATATTTGGGCTGCTCTCTTACTGAGCTTACTTCTTGTTTCAGGGAGTTTTGATGCTCAGCTGATTTTTGGACATTTCTACTTGAGTTTGAAGACTGTCCGTTATGGACTCCTTGCACTGGAGTTGATTCTCCTGAGCTCCGTTGACGCCATGATCCATGTATTTTTCCATGCTTGTTTGACCGAGCATCATCATTCCTGGACTCCAGAGCGGATCCTCCCTTTGCAATAGCTGGGCCAGCAGGCTGTGTAATCTCCGTACCTTGAGACACAGAATCCATTCTTCGAACAGTCTCATCAGACACAGACTGACTGACAGAAGAAACCACTGGTTGTTGACTGCCTCCTTGCTGAGCCTTTTCTTTCGCTACAGGCTTTGGAACATACCTCTCCATCTCGGCCCTCTTGTTCCTTGAATTATTCTGAACTTGATGATCACTTCTTGCAACTGGAGCAAGAGTCTCAGTTACAGTATTCTGGCTAGCTTCATTAGCAACCTCAGTTTTGTTGTGTGTCCGGACGGGTGCCCATATAACAGCATCACCAGTGTGAAACTTTTCTGATGATTTACTAGCCTGTGGATTTCTTTGTGTCCTGCGAGCATGCTGAGGTTTCCATTGGTTATTTGTTTGGCTACGGCTTTCTTCATTTGGTAAAGATAAGCGTTGCTCTGAACCCTGATTTGCACCTTTAGATTCCTTAGGTGATTGAAATTGGATAGCATCCCATTCGGAT